CCGGACGACCAAGATTGTGAGGAGGGCCTTCAGAGGCACCCCGCTGGCGATGGGGACTAAAGCTCTCTTGAAGCACGGCGCCTTGGCTGGCCTCTTCCTCGGCATGGACATGAGCAGCCTCGAGAAGGACTGGAAGCAGCTGAAGGAGGGAGCCAAGACCGAGGAGGCAGACCAGCTGAGGGCCCAGGCTGAGGAGTGGGAGAGAAAGCTGGCAGTACTCACCCAGCTCTATGAACACCTGCAGGTGAGGCTGGAGGGAGGGGAGAGGGACTAGGCCTCATGGGCACCCAGGGTTAGGGGAGGGTGTGAAGGAAGCCAGAGTGTGCAGTTTACATGGCTGCCCCTCAGACGAGGGCTCCTGGAGATGATGATGGTGCTCAGCCTGGACAGGCCCGGCCGTGCCTCTGTGTCTCCCTTATGTCTCTCCAGGCTCCTGGCCTGGGAAGAGGGCCTTCCTGGTTGTACAGACAGGACACTGAGCCACAGCGGGTGCTGGGGATGGAAATGTGTTCCCCTAAGACCCATCGCTCTGGAGACTGTTTGGAGATGCCGCTTTGGGGAGTGGTTGGGGTTGAATGAGGTCATGGCGGGGGAGAGGGGAAGGGTGAGGACTCATGATCCCTGACCAGAGACCCCGTTGGCCCGCACCTTGGTCTGGGCCCCGCTACCTCCAGAGCGATGAGAATCACACGTGGCTTTCTGTCACGGTGGCCCTGGCTGGCTGGGACAGGGAGCTCCTGTAACCTGCCCCTCTCTCCCAGGTGGAGCGGGTCAGGATGAAGCTGGGAGCCAGCCTTCGGAGCTGGCCGGCTCTGCCCGGCTCTGCCCGCCTCTGCCCCAGAGCACTCCTGAGATGGACGTTTTTGTTTCTTTACATAAACTCTTGCAGGAAAGAAGCCTTAGGAACTCATCTTCCAAGGAAGAGGAAGCCGGTACGACTCTGTCTCAGCCCCCAGCCAAGCTAGGGGAAGCAGGCCCCCAGGTCACAGGTGAGGCGGAGGCTCAGCTCTGAGCAGAATCAAAGGGGCCGGGCCTGGCCGGGCGGGGTGGGCGGCAGAGAAAATGCCTGTGGACTTGCCAGCAGATTCCTTTCTGTGCTCTGGGGGCCCAGGCACTGTCAGCTGGCGAGTGTAGTGAAGGTGAGCCTGTCCTCTCTCCTCCGTCTTCATTGCCCCTTGTTCCTGCAGGGAGGGGGTGGAGTGGGTGCTAACTCATGGCTTCCTCAGTCCCCGCGCACTCTCCCAGTGCTGATGAGGACAGTAGGGTCCCTGATGGGAAAGGTGTCACCGGAAAACAAAAAGGCCTTTGGAAAGGAGAGGGAAACTATTGTGTATTTGGGACCAGGAAGGATAGCTCCTGAGGAATCATGAATTCAGGCGGGAGCCCAAGTAATATTCTGATTAGGAGACAGAGGCCAGGGGTATCATGATCCAGGGGAGGAGAACAATCACACCAATCGGAGGAAGGCGAAAGGGATTCTAGGGACCACACAGGCAGGCTTAGGGAATACAGAGGGTCCACGGGGGAGGATGCATATGGGAAGGACAGAGGTATCCCTCTGGGCTGAGCAATGAAGGCAATTTTAAGGTGGATCAGACGCAGCCCTGACCTAAGCAGCTGGGAGAGCCACCTTGGTAATAACACATCCCTTGGCCAAGATGACTGAGAGAGCCCTAAAGGAGATCCAAGCCACTCCAACCTGAGCAGGTAAGACAGGGATGTGAAGGACAGAGAAATGACGCCGGAGAAGGGGATAAAGGAAAGTCAGGGGGTACCGGGATGGAGGAAACCTGTAAGGTTCTCCCTCCTCCCAACTGGTGGGCGGAGTTGTGACATTGCTGGCACCTGTCACAGGGACATCTCCAGGACATTGAGCCATTGATCAGCGCCTGCCAAAGTGACCTGGAGCCCACCCCTTCCTGTTCTGCCCTGGGTCCAGCCCTCTCCTGTTCCTCCCCGTAAAAGGACCCCCAGACCAGCCATGTGCTGCTGATCCTCCATGTCCAGGTGGCACCCCGGCTGGGTCCACCTCTCCTTCCAACTCCTTCAATTCTGATTTCTCTACCTCCGTAATGAGTCCCGCTCATTATTGGGAATAAACTTTACTTTAAAACTCCTTGGTGATCAGTTTCCTGCGCCTCAAACCTTACAAAACCTTCTTTCTCGGAGGAGAGAGAAATGTCCACAGAATTGATGCTGGAAAGAGGGGACCACACTTTCACAGGAGATAGAGAGGGTTGCAAGATGAGGGAAAGAGAAGAACCGGACACCACGTGAGCTTTGGACTTTGAAACAAAAGAGAGACCAATCAGGAGAGCACAGGGTCCGAACATGGGGAAGAGGCCCAATGAGAAAGGGTCAGGGTCACACCAAGAACTACAGCGTTTATAAACTGGAGACACAGGACACCAGGCAGATTACACATTTTGGATTTTTGGATGTAGATTTTTTTCTCATTAGAGAGAGAGAGAGCGAGAGCGAGAGCGAGAGCGAGAGAGAGAGAGAGAGAGAGAGCGCACACGCCCTCCCCCCCCCATAGAGTTTATATATGCTTTCAATAAACTTCCACATTTTTCTAAATTAAAGAAACCTTTTTGTCCACGAGTTTATTCTTCAAACTTTGTCGGACAAGGGTCCACGAGACGAAGTCTGTGCCCCAAAGCCCACATTTCCCAGGCATTTCCATTGGTGCAGATGACATCCCATAGGGAAGCTAATTCTAAGCAATGTTATTTAATTCCCAGTCCGGTGGTCCTCTGTCCGGTGGTCACCCGTCCAGGTGTCACAGTGACTGCTGTCTGCTGATCGCTGCAAGCAGGTTTTTTTCCGTACAAGATCACCAAGGCCCCTTTAACACTGCAAAGGGCTGAGGCACATGGCACGCAGGCAGGTCCTCGGGGATGGCAGCTCCAGCTCCATTTTCAAGGGGCTCCGTTTATATGATCCTTCACTAGGGTTTGCAGTGTGGTTCCTTTCTCATCAACTCACCGGCCATTTTTCTCTCTCTCCCCCCACCCCCCTTCCCCCCCAGCAGCAACCGCAGCAATCGCTGGATAAGATCCTTTGTCTGCGCACAGAAGGACTGGAACCTGCTCCACCAGATTCCATCGGGAAGGGAGAGGCCCTGTTCTCCCCAAGACTATCCCCCCGACCCCCACCCGTGTTCCAGGCCTCCTTCTGACCTCCTTCAGAACTGTGTGCACCTTCCTGCCTTCCCCGCTCACCTACCTTACACTACCTTGTTAGCTGCTGTCTTGAAAGCAGTGCATTGCCATTAAATACACTTTTTTTTTTTTTTTTAAATTCCAGTACGTAAAAGAATAAAATAAAAATAGGGTGTGGGTGCTAACATGCTTACTGGCTTTTGTGGCTGTCATGAGCCTGCCTGCTGGGGACCCTCCCTCAGGCTGTGTTAAAACATAGGTGTTTTTTGTTTTTTTCTTCCTGAAACCACTGGGTTTTCTCATTCTCGGCGCTCTCCTTCACCTGCAGACCTATGACTTTTCCCTGTCCTGCTTTCTGTCAGCCATATTCAGCATTGATGCACCTCTCTCTCTCTCTCTCTCTCTCTCTCTCTCTCTCTCTCTCTCTCTCTCTCTCTCCCTTCCTCTCTGAAATCAATAAAGTATATTTAAAAATAAAAATCATGTATTGCCAAAGATAGATATAAAGACAGTAAAGCAATAAGCAGACTGTCAAATTACAGCGGGGAGGGAGATATGGGGGAGATAAGAGATCAATCGAAGGACTTGTATACATGCATGAAGTACAATCAATGGACACAAAACTCTGGGGAGGGAGGGCATGTATATGTACAGAGATAATAATTTAATTTTAAAAATAATGTATTGTTCAGCAGGCTCGATCCAAGGCCTCACCCCTATCTCCCCTCTCCTCCCCCCGCCACCCAGGCACCGTCTAGGGGAGGAGGAAGTGAGGTGGGGGTGGTGGGGGACTGTAGAACCAGAAGCAAGAAAGGACCCCAGCTCACCCAGTGGGCTCCCTTGTTTCCTGCTGTGGGCGGCCTTCTGGTGGTTTCCGGAAGCCCACCACCTCCCACACTGATTCTTGAAGGTTGGGGCTCCTCCCTCCTGAAGACATTCCCGGTGGTGATGAGGTCACGGGGGACCCCAGCCAGCGGGAGTCCGACTGCCCACCCATGTGGGGGAAGTGCCCTCAGCCACTGCATGGGGGTGAGCAGAGCTGGGCCCATGGCCTCTGGCGAGGGTCAGGTGGCCTCGGGACTTTGACCCTTAGCCTCTGTGACCCTTCCGGGGCCACCCCAGCAGTTCCTTGGACACACATAAGCCTCTGGGCAAGACACCACCCAGCTGGGCAAGAGGGCAGTTCTGATGCTGCGGACATCTTTCCCCAAAGGCCAAGTGCAGAGAGCTCAGCAGCAGCCCGAAGTGGATGCTTCCGCTGCGGCAGGGTGGTCGCCGGACAGGGCTCTGCAGACCCACAGGCACCAGGTCCCGGCCCCGGAGGACCGGCTGGCTGGGAGGGAGGTCACTCTTCAAAGTGCTGTCCAGCCCAGCCTGGGCCAAGGAGCTCGGCCAGCTCTTTGACCTAAGCCTCCATGGAGGACAGTCCTCAATGGCACCCTCTTTACTGGGGCCTGGCTCACCCCCTTTCCCCCGCCCCCACCCCAACCCCCGACCTCCTGGTTCTGGTGAGGACTTCCAGGAGAGGGAATGTGACCCTCGCTGGGAGTCTGAGAAGCACAGTCCCCCGCCATGAGGACCGGTGGGACAGGGACACAGGTTTGCCCAGAGAGACCGCCCCAAGGACTCGTCCTACTGAATCTGAGGGGGACACCCTGACAGCTACGATCCAGCAAACAGAAGGGCAGGAGTGGGATCAGCCTGGGCTCTGCTCTGCTATGGAGAAGTCCTCCTGTACTGGGACCAAATGAGGCTGGGACCTCAAGAAAAGTCCAGGGCTTGGGGGAAAGTGAGAAGGCGGGAGACCTCTGACCTCTGACCTTTGATGGGATCCCTAATCCCAGGACCTGAAGTTCCCAGAGCTCCGGACACTGTGTGGATTTCTTTTTGGATCTGTGAGCTAGATCAGGAGCGCTCCCACATTCTATCCATGACCCGTTTCACACTGCAGTCCAGCACACACACACACACACACACACACACACACACACACAATCACACGCAAACACATACAAACAAACACATACACACAAACACACAAACACACACAAACACATGCACACAAACACATATACAGAAACACATACAAACACACAAACACATACACACACAAATATATACAGACACACAAACACATACAAACACAAACACACACAAAAACACTCACAAAAACACATACACGGGAGGAGCATCCAAGATGGCTGCTCGGGTAGACACCTAACCGCAGCAGCACACAACAATTTCAATGGAATACAACTAAAATGTAGAGTGGACATCGCCCAGAGCTACAGGTAGTCGACTGACTGAAAATTCTACAACAAGAAGGAAAGAGAAAACCAGAAGGAAAATCAGAGGAGCTGAAAAAAAGCCTAAGGTATGGAGACATGCTGCGCACTCTCACGCACGCGTGCGCTGAGAGGTCACAGCTGGAGAGGAGGAGAGGGCTGGGTGCTGCCTGGCGTTCCCTAGCAGGAAGGAAATAAGACCCCCAGCCTGGGCTAAACCCCCGAACCAGCAGCGCTGACCCCCAGTTATGAGCCAGACCCTGGGGACCCAGGCTCCGGCGGGGGGAGACAGGGCTGTGAGGCGGAATCCCAAGCGAGCAGAGAAAAGCAGGGCCCCTGGAGTCGCGCGCACTTTGCGCGCAGAGGACTGAATGTTGACTCTGATGCTGGATTACCCTAGCCTAGGGGTGTCGAACTCAATCAGAGAAGGGGCCAAAATCTAAAATCCAGCCTAAATCGCGGGCCGAATGGTTTACTGAACAGTCATAAACTGTCATTGTGATGGAAACGCAGCGGAGTGCAGTGATGACAGCGCGGTGTGGGCCTCATTGCAAGGCCTGGAGGGACGGATTTGGCCCGCGGGCCTTGTGTTTGACACATGTGCCCTAGCCGGAAGAAACAAAGCCTCTGGCGGTGCTAAGCCTCAGTCCGGACTGCTCTGAACCCCAGTCCTGGACCAGACCCTAGGAACCCAGGCTCGGGCAGGGGGAGACGGGGCTGTGAGGCGGAATCCCAGGGGAGTGGCAAAAAGCAGAGCCCCTAGAGTCGCGCGCACTGCGCCCAGAGGACAGTCTGTTGACTCTGATCCTGGACTCCCCTAGTGGGAAGGAGGAAAAAAAAAAAAAAGCTCCAGACTGGAGGAATGCGACGGGGAGCAGGAGCCCCTGCCGGACACCAGCCAGGACACCAGCCAGCCGGGCGCCAGCAGGGAGCCGGGCGCCGGGGCCCCCAGGGGGGGGGTGCCCCCGAGCCATCGACCTCTGAGCGCGGGCAACGGAGCCAAGGCCAGGGGCTGCTTCCTGGGTGGTGCCGACCCCGGCAACAGGCTGGAGCAGCGCGGGAGCCCGTGGAGAACAAAGGGGTGCCACAGGCCAACCTGCTGAGCTTCCAGGACAAGGAGGAAGAAACCAAAGTTCTCAATGTGAAGAAATCAAGAGAGAGCAAAAGATAGTAAAATTACTTAAGAAAGAATACAAAGAAGATCTTGAAAAATCAAAGACTAAGTCAGAACTCAACTCACCAGCCAACATTGCAACATAAATGCGTTTAAAAAAAAAAAAAAAAGGACAGAATGTTGAAACAGCGCGGCCAGGCCTAGAGTGCCCAGGCACAAAGCAATGGCAACCAGGCCCGGAGCAGCAACAGCCAGGCCCCAGAGCAGCAGCAGCCAGAACCAGAGCAACAACAGCCAGCACTGGAGCAGCCAGACCTGAGGCGGAGGCAGCCAAGCCCAGGGTGGCCAGTCCAGGACTACCCAGACCCGGAGTGGCCGGACCTGGAGAAGCCAGGCCCAGAGCAGCTGGGTTGGGAGCAGCCAGGTCCAGAAGAGCAGTAGCCAAGCCCGAAGCATCCAGGCTGGGAGCAGCCAGGCCCGGAGCAGCGGCTGCCCAGCTGGGAGCAGCCAGGCCCGGAGCAGCGGCTGCCAGGCTGGGAGCGGCCAGGCCCGGAGCAGCTGGGTCTGGTGCGGCCAGGCGGGCAGCAGCAGCTGCCAGGCTGGGAGCGGCCAGGCCCGGAGCAGCTGGGCCCAGAGCAGCCGGGTCGGGTGCAGCCAGGCCCAGAGCAGCAGCAGCCAGGTCCAGAGCAACTAGGTCGGGAGCGGCGGTGACCAGACCCGGAGCAGCTGGTTGTGGAACGAACCAGAGCAACAGAGGCCAGGCCCGAAGCAGCCAGGCCTGGAACAGCTCGCTTCTCGCCTGCCCCTGCCCCACGGCGGCCTCTCAGACATAGCTGGAAACTTTTGTGGGAACTTGAGGGTCTGCTGAATCAAGTGATGAAGGCTTAGATCTGGATGTGTTGAGTTAGTATAGGGCTGGGGTGTTGATCTGTGAGTGCCTTGGATGGGGCCTGGATGAGTCTGGTTGACCTATTTGGAAATGTCTTTTGCGTGAAATATATCATTGGGCATGTGGTGGTATTATTGATATGAGAAAATGCTAAGTAACAGATTTACTATCTGAAAAGGGATTTACTACTGGGGAAAGGGAGAGAGGAAGAGACTGAACATAAACTGTGCACCTATAAATGAGGACAATGGGGGATGGGGAGGGGGTGGAGGGTGGGGTGGGAACCTGGTGGAGGGGGGAAGAAATGAGGAACCTTTGTAACAATATGAACAATAAAGATTGATTTAAAAATAAATAAATAAATAAATAAATAACCCCCCCAAAAAAAAACACATACACACACACACAAACACAAACACACACACTATAGTGTTATGACTATACGAATGTAATTCTCATGAAACAATACCTACCTTCATTGTGTATAACATCACCTGATGATACTTTCTGTTCTGTTCCTTGCCATTTTCTTCTTCTTTTTAAAAAAATATACATTTTATTGATTTTTTACAGAGAGGAAGAGAGAGGGATAGAGTTAGAAACATCGATGAGAGAGAGTTATCAATCAGCTGCCTCTTGCACACCTCCTATTGGGGATGTGCCTGCAACAAGGTACATGCCCCTGACCAGAATCAAACCTGGGACCCTTCAGTCTACAGGCCTACACTCTATCCACTGAGCCAAACCGGTTTTGGCATTTTCTTTACTGCAACGTTGAGATGCACTAAGTTGATTTCATGACACAATGAAGGGCTGTGGGCTGTGGTATAAAAACAGCCCAGCTGGACA